AAATATTTCATTCGGAAATTAATTTATCGATTGGAACTGATCATTCAATCAGGAAAGATGTTGGCTCTCCTCAATCCGATGCTGAAATCTTAGTTTATCTCGCGAAAATTAATTTCATTCGACCGCCAAAACTCGTGTTTAAATCCGGATATTTGGCCCCATTGTCCTTGAACGTCATTAGAGGTCGCCAGTCACGACTATCCGATAATATTTATGTTCGGGAAGATCATTATTTTTTGTAATTATCATTTCACAACTTGACTAAACAGCACTGTATTTCCCCTTATTCTGATGATTTTTTTTCGTCGAGAATCGATCGTCTTTCGCCATGCAAAGCAGTCTGCAGATCCTTCACATGACCCACAATCAATTTCCCCGTTGCAGTGGCGACGCAGGTGTTGGTGGTGCCTTGGGTTCAACAATTCCTGGCTACCCGAGGGCTATAGGAATCAGGGGGTCCTACGAAGGTTCTTTCACCACCTGCGTGTAGACTTTTGCGTTCCTTTTTCCCCTAGTATTTAAACCTGTGCCCCTGCAGTCAGTATAAGGCTGGGTTGTTGGCTCTGAATTATAGATTCACGGACGCCGTATCGATTTATGATGCTCCTGCTGTGGTGTTTTTTCATTTTATTATTCATTTGAGTCGTCGTGTTTAATTTCAGTCCGTAGCAGGTGTAATTGAGCACCGAATCGGCCCTAGTTCAGTATTTTCTTTAAAATTGAAAAAAAATGTAATAAATGTGGCCGTGGATTCCGATGTAGTCATTCACCTTATTGAGCAAGGTTCACGGCAGGAAAGCGAAATGGTGAAATAATGTAATTTCAATACTGGATTATTGTCATCAATTTTCTCCTGGAATAAGCTCGTAAAAAAATCTTCCTGCACTTCCACAACTGGACCAACCTCGTGTGCAGCCAAAAAATCCCTGAAGACCCGACATCTTGGGTAATAGATGAAGGTGAGGTTATTCCTGGCGATGATTTTTCCGCAACCAGTTCAATTCGCAACGAGATTATTTCAGTCTGACGAGGTTCGGCCTGATGACGTTATTCCAGCCACCCCGGAAAAGCAAGTGCCAGGGTCGAAGTATTGACGGTTTTTATCCACTGAAAATATTGTTTTGCTTTGGATAGGTTGGGTCGACTTTGGATAGGTGCTGGTCTGACACAGCGGTAAGATAATCAAGAATTTATTACAAATTATCTAGTTGCTTCCCCTGTTTTTCGTCATGTGTCTTTCCCGGCATTCTTTTGAAAATATTTCTTCAGACTGATCAATTATTGAAAGGTGAGATGAATTCGGGAAAATCCCCTGGGCTTGCAGGACTTTGGCAAGAAAGTCAAGTTTTAATACCAATGTAATCACGCTTCTCTTCAGGGAGAAAGAGAAGAAGCGAAGTCGGAAAAAATTATCATCAGACAACCCTAGAATATCACTGTCAAATGAAAGTGACGTTTTCTGATCCGCTACTTTAAAATTATGCAGGATCTCAAAAAACATGGAGCTTTATCTTTGGATAATTTTTCCCGATATTCTAGCTGGCCTTGCCTATGCATTCGAAGCCACGGAATTGGGTCATAGATCAAAATATATTTGAATTATCTTTCCTTCAAAATTTGTTCATGATTATAGCTTCATCTGAGCTGGACATATTACTATTTAAATTTCGGCGCTTTTTTCGTGGTCCATCAGAATTTTCGCTGCGTAATGCCTTTGGATTACAGCATAGCACAGAGCCAATGGATTTTTAAAGCAAATTTTTTCCTTTTCTTTGTGAAAATGCATGTTATCGTGGGTTGCTTTTGAAAATGCTCTCGAACTCAAATGTGCTATTTCTTTTTGAAGCTTCGGGATATGATTGATCAATACCGACAGTCTTATGATTCATGTCGTGAATACCCCGAGTATTCCGTGCATAGAAATGTTTTCGCATGCAAATTGAAGTAATTTTGAAATAATTCTGCTTCAATTGACCTTGGCGGAACATTTTTTTTTACCGTATATTCCCGCAACGTTATGACAAGAGAACGTCATGCAGTCATTACGGACGGATTTTCAAAGGGACATAATCTTCTTTATTATCTCACCGGCGTTGTGAAAGTCACGAAGCACCATATATAACGGCATTCAAAAGGTCTTTCCAAGTTCAAACAGCTCTTTTTTGTTGGGAAAAGTAAAGGATGGCCGGAAAGGAGTTCCGTATAGACTGGACCCGAAAATAAAAGCAGAAGAAGCTTTGAAACGTGCTTTCAAAGAAGTTTTTTAGATCAGAGGATGGAAGCACAGGACGATGCCGAGGCTTTTTTTTTTTTGAATTGGAGGGAAAATTGCGGCAATCACACTCGGGCGCAATTTCCGTTGATGGGATTCCACGTCGTTCGCTTCAACTGGATGTTGGCGAGTTGCGTCGGAATTTTGCGTTTCAGTGCGAGGTTCCTTTTTGCATCCAATGTATAGAAAATTCCGTTTTTATTTTATCCTATAGTTCGCATTATTTTCGAATTATCGGTTTATGAGCAGCGGCTCTCTGAAAAAATGATGCTGAATTCGTCGAATAACTAGTTTTGCAATCTCCGGGTTATTTCTTTTCCTGGCCGGAAAGTCGTCGACGACCGATGGGACGAATGCTTTATTCAGGTTTAAATTATGTAATGTTTTTTTCCTTTTTTCTGAATATATGTATACGGTATGTGTAGAACCTTCGTTTTGAAATTTTTCATGCATAAGTAGTTGGAACATACGCTGGAATGAAAAAAAAGTTTGTATTTGCATGGTATTCTAGGCTAGCCGAAGTTGCTCCGATTTATGAGTGTCAAGTGCTGAAATGATCTCATGAATGTTTAGTTTGATTTCAAATTTAGTCAGACAAGCAGTGAATCAAAGTTGCGTAATGAGTGCTCATGCTTTATCCTTTGTGTTGTAAAATTGCTGTGTAGATTTCACTGACTGCCACAGTTGCATTTCAGTTGTTGCGTTATAACAATGACTATTTTTCGTTCATAAATACAGTTTATCGCATTTAACTTTTTTTCTTTCGCGTGAAATATTTTTTCTAGATGTCGCCGACGCTTTGAATTTCTTTTTTCGATTTATATAATCCAAAGCCATCGAAAGTTATAGACTTTCCTCTGGGTTCCGCCTGTTTGAGCACAGGCATTGATGCCGACATTTTTTTGAATTCTGAGTATAATTTTTATTAATTAAAGAGTCCATTTCTTCATTTTTATTTCTCGAATACAGTAGATCAAAAACCTCTCCCGACCTGTTCCCGCGACTTCCAAAGGCATATACTTCGCGAAGATTTGGAACCCTGGAATTGCTGTCTTTGTCATTTCACGGAAACTTTTCGAACTCCCTCTAGTAAGATTCTGGAAGAGGATCCTCGTAGTTGGTATTAAAAAAGTTATTGACTTTTTGTTACGAGGGTTTTGAGCCGTTATTCATTGTCCCTTTGAATCCGATAAAATCGAGAGTAAATTATTCCTCGTCGAATTCCTCATAATTTTTTATTACGATGTGCGTCACAGCGAATGTAATGATCTTACGCTCTTCACATTTATATTTATAATTCAAGTTCGTGCGAGACCATTTTCGAATTCAAACATGTTGAATTCTCTTTAATGCAGGCGTATTTACCCGACTGAAGCATAATCCAAGACACTCTCCAACCTTCTTAACGCGGTTGACTATAAGAGCCTCGACTTCTGCTGTGTAATGAAACTTCGTAATCTGAGAACCTTGATTATAACTTAAATTACGAACTTGCCCTCCAACTTAACAGATGGGAGGAAACGTTGGCACTTATTTTGGTGCAAGCTTTTTTTTTACCGTGTCATCTACACGAAATTCCATCCATATATATTTCTTCGGTGAAAATTTGGACCTGTCGTCGAAATTAGAGTGAGAATGAAACTTTAGTGGGAAAAATTTGGGAATTGATAATCTGAAATTAGGCTAATTAACAGAGAGTTCTTACGAATGATCAATGAATTCGGAATGGATATTGATCAGTAACCACTAAGACATATGATTACTGTTCAATTTAATTAAATTGATTATATGGTGACCAGCTAATTTTATTCGGAACATGCTTGACATGATCCTTGCGTGAAAGCCCAGCTTGACCTCTGAAATGAAACGTGGGCGCCATCCGACAGGATTCCTGCATACCACCCGTGGCACCGAAACCAATTTTTGAAAATTGATATGGAATCTCTCAGCAAAGATCTTTAATACAAAGATTTTCCCTTTATAACGATTTTTTTCGGGCCTGTGCATGAAGTTTCCCCCCTTGTTACGGGTGGACACGCTCCACAGCTAAATTCAAGGGACCTGGGGAAAAAAAAAGATCGATGTCGACAGAATTTCATTGAAGATAAGTCCCATAACATGGGACGAAAAAATCGTTATAAAGGGAAAATCGTTGTATTAAAGAAATTTGTTGAGAGATTCCACATCATTTTTCAACAATTGGTTTCGGTGCCACAGGTGGTATGCAGGAATCTTGTTGGATGGCGCCCACGTTTAATTTCAGAGGTCAAGCTCTGTGCTTTCACGCAAGGATCATGCCAAGCATGTTCCGAATCAAATTCGCAGGTCACCATCTAATCAATGTAATTAAATTGAACACTAATCATGTGTCTTAGTGGTTACTGATCAATATCCATTCCGAATTCATTGATCATTCGAAGAGCTCTCTGTTAATTAGCCTAATTCTCAGATTATCAATATTCCCAAATTTTTACCACTAAAAAGCGGTCCGAATACAATTTTTTTTTTTATAGATTTCTTTGTACTGTAAGGCGTTCAGGAAATGATTGGACTGAGAAAGGAGCAGCTCCTCTTTCAAATCAGAATCAGGAATCGATTGGGGTGATCAAGTTCCTGACGGCCAGTGGCCTCGTATAGGCATTGAGTTGTCCTTCCTTCGTGGCGCGCGAATGGGGCGACAGTTGCGTCGCGGTCAATACCCCCCCGTGTGTGCTCCGCGGAGGACGAACTAGCACTGCTGTATATACACAGACTGGTAGACAGTGAAAAGTAGCATGATGAGGAGCAAAAGAGCACGAGGAGCAACAGCATGAGGAGGAGGAGGAGCAGCAGCAGGAGCAACAACAGCAGGAGCAGCAGGTGGCATTCGGCCTGCGGTTGGTCGCTCCGTGTCTGCGTCTTTAATTTATTCATGGACCCACGGAAATCACGCGTGCTGCGTCGCACGACCCGTTGCTCTGTCCTTCGTTTCGCATTTCGGGATGCCCGGATTGTTGAGTAGGAGACAAAAAAAAAAAAAAAAAAAAAAAACAAACACCCAAAGCGGAAAAAACCCTGAAATAGAAACTTTTCATTCCAGCGTATGTTCCAACTACTTATGCATGAAAAATTTCAAAACGAAGGTTCTACACATACCGTATACATATATTCAGAAAAAAGGAAAAAAACAAGCACCCAAGGCGGAAAGAACCCTGAAATAGAAACGAATCCAGCATGAGAACCTCCGTTGTTTCAAAAATTGACCTTCGAGCCTGCTCTCTTGATTCCCGTTCCTTCACACCGCATCGGAAATAACGACTGGATTCTTGTCAGGAAGAAAAGGTACCCCGATGCTAAAAGCACGTTTAACAAAAGAAAGAAGACAACAATCACACTTTGATAAAAAAAAGAGCATCCAATGCGGCAAGCAAATAAAATCATCCAGTTTTCAAGATCACTCGTTTCAAAAATTATCCTATGAGATGATTTTGATGAAGCCTGTCGTTGGGCATTGGGGATGCCTGCTGATGGTTTGTTCGCGAGGAGAAAAAGCACCCAATGGGAAAAGAACCCTGAAATGAAAAGGAATCCAGTAGGAAAACCATCGTTCGTTTATTTTTCAGTATCTACAAAAATTTACCTGTAAGACGACTTCGATTCCCTTCCCTGCGTTTCTCTTCGGAGACGGTTGGATTGCTGTCGGAGAGAATAAAGTGCCCAATGCGAAAAGAACCCTGGCACTAAAAAGAATCCAGTATGAAAATCAACCTTTTTTCCTTTTCTTATCAAAAATTACTGTATGAGCTGACTTCGATTCCCATTCATTTCTTCCGCATCAGAAAAAGTAGGATCGTTATCGGGGAGAAAAAGTACCCAATACGAAAAGCACCCTTAACAAACGACCCTATACGTAAATCACATTTTGAAGAAAGCATCGCAATGCGAAAAACACAATAAAAGGACGCATCACCCAGTGTAAGATAACTCGATTCAAAACTTACCCTATAAGATGATTTTGATGAATCCTTTCGTTTCTCATCGGGCATGGCTGAATTGTTGTGGGGAAGAAAAAGTACTCAATGGGGAAAGCACCCTAAAAAAATAGCATCCAACGCGAAGAGCACCTTCAAGAAAAAAAAAAACACCCAGTGTGAGAAGTGAGAACCACTCTTGTTTCAAATTTTAATTCATCAGTAATCGTTTTATTTATTGAATCTAATCTTGATCACTCAGGAATATTACGAAGTACGCGTTTAGTTGGCTTTCCTCTCCAGGTGTATTTGTGATACGTTATGCCTCGAAGATTAACACAATATACTTCAGGAATCATTTCCATTGATATAAAGTACTGTACATCGCTTCGCAGAACGGATTTTTCGCACAAGGAACTCAGGGTGACACCGATTTTCCTTTCAGATTGTGAACCCGGTCAATAGATGAGGAGATTGCATGAAAAGTGACGGCAACACGAAAAAAAACATTAATATTGTTTCGAGAATTTTGGCTGTCGGTGTCGCGAATATTTCAACGGATACATTAAATTCGATACGCTAGCTTTTGGAGAACCCGAATTCCCCGACGAATTTA